CCTGACGGGGCCCAACACGTTCCAGCCTGGTTTGAATTCAGTATTTTCATTCTTTCCAAATCTAGAGAGCATGCATTGGCAACATTTTTCAAACGGTGGACCGCATAAGATGCAGTAGTACATTATAAGGCGGATCGCTCTACTAAACGAAATCGAGGTAATTTTTAATTAAAGAAACCACAGTCATTTTCCCTCCTAAAGAGCATGCGCATCAGCATCTGTCTTAGAAATATGGAAAAGTCGACTTTTTCTCTGGATAAAATATTCATTATATTAACATTTTGAAGTACTGATATAATATTATCACTGATGACAGAGTGATTAACACACACTGCTGCGTATGATTTGTTTCTAATTTATTCATTTGAAAATACAAAAATATTTGTAAAAAATATTTATTCTCTAGAAAATATAATTATCATTGTCATTTCATGTTTCTGAATTAAAAGATATTTACACGTATGATCTTCCTTAGTGAAAATCGCCAATGGTTTAAAACGTTACCTTCAACAAAAAGTTGCAAAATTCAAGAAACATTGTAATTAATCATTGTTTATGTATGTGGTTATGCATGAGAGAGTGTGTGAGTGAACAAGTGAGAACGATAGGAAACTAACAACATTTAATAATGTTATTTACCTCATGAAATTAGGCGTGCTATTCAGAAAGTTAATCGTGTCGCATGTGGTCCGCGGGTCGCAGTTTGCCCATGACTGCTATAGAGGCCAATCTTTTCGGCTATTTACCCATAGCTGGGAGGAAGAGATGGATTCATACCTTTCCCAACGGGTATTAGTATGTAAGTGTATATAATGAACTCGACTGGAATACGAACTCGGCTCTCCGATTCCGCAACCCAAGTCGCTATCCATTACTTTACCTATTGAAATTTACAAAAATCTCACACTAATTTTTCAGATTTCTAAATGTCCGTCAACTGTTATAGCTCTTTCTATTATTGATGAGAATTTCCTTACAAAATTTTTGTTTTTGATAGTGTGGAATGTAAATAATACTATTTTATTATTATTTTCTCTTTTACTTACATGTGCTATTCATTTTTTGCTGCTGCTTTTGAATTTGCTCAAGTGATGGGGTTTTCATTATTTGGTAATGTTCTTCGGTTTTTTTAAAAATTATTTATTTAGAATCGCCAGTCTATGGGTTTTGATAAAGCACCATCTTTAGATATATTTTGAGCCGTTTTCCGAGTGTAAAGATGGAGTACTTATATCCCGAAAAGAGATTATAAATAAGACCAATGACGTAATAAGGCCAATCACGTAATAATGATCATATGGTATGATCCAATAAGGAAAATACATTTCAGCATCGAACGTAAAGAAAGAGAAGTAATTAATCCGAGTGTGGATTTTCCTGTACGAAGTGCAGACTGTCAGTCAGTTATGTGCCATGCGTGATACACACTTAGGCGATCACGTATCTTTCCATACATAACTGACGAGGCAGTTTTTTTTCCCGAAGTAGTTGCCATTTCTTTCTGCAGTAAACCAGTTGCCATCCAAGGCTAGAGAGCCCGGTCTGTCCTTTTATTTACCCATAGCTGGAGGGGGGGAGAAGAAAAGGATTCATACCTTTAACAAGGTTATTAGCCCGTAAGTGAATATAATGTATTCGACTGGAATTCGAACTCGGCTCTCCAATTCAGTTATGTGCCATGCGTGATACACGCTCAGTCGATCATGTATCTTTCGATACATGACTGACGAGGCAGATTTTTTTCCCGCAGTAGATTGCCATTTCTTTCTGCTGTAAACCAATTTCCATCCAAGGCTATAGAACTCGGCTATTTACCCATAGCTGGTGGGGGGTGGGGGGAAGAAGTGAATTAATACCTTTCCCAAGGATATTAGCTCTTGTAATGGATTCGACTGGAATTCGAACTCAGCTCTCCGATTCCTCAATTCGAGCCACTATCGATTATATATGTAACGTGCTGACAATAAAATAAAAATAAAAGATTTCGAAAAATTAGAGAAATACGAAGACCATGCTGGAGAGATGGAAACATTAGGAAATATGAATGTGACGTTTGGGTTTCATTATGATTGGAGTACTTGGAGCCATTTCGAAGAGATGTGAAACATTTGGAAATTCGAGTACAAACTGAATCTCTTCAGAACTTTGTTAAAAGTCGGAAGAGGGCGATGAAGTACTAAAATGGCTTCTTGTCGCTTGACTCCAAGTGAAATTTACGAGTTACAATTCATGCAAAACTCAAAGCGTACTAAGAACAAACAACTAATTCCTGCAATGCTGTTTCTTTACAACAGTCACAAAATAAAACATAGAGCCCTGTTGTCATATCTTTGCACGCAGGCTGACAAGGTTCTGGTTTCAGTAAATTATTTCATTACCTTGATCCCCTCCCCCAAAATTTTTAAGTTTTAATGTCAATTAAAAGTAATGACAACAAAAACGTTCTCATGTAAACTATAAACAAATAAACAAACAATTTTTGTTTAAAATAAAAATGTACTTACACAAGAATTACATTTTTAGAGACTGTGAGTAGGTACGTTTTTGTGTGAGTGTGCATTGGAAGTGCTTGGCGGTTTTAGCAGAATAACTTACATGCTAAGCAGAGAACAAAAAACAAGGAAAAAAGAGATGTTTGAAAACACTCTGTCATATACTCATGCTACCTGACCTTAGGTAGTTCTGGGTATAACGTTAAACTACATCTGGTAGCAAGACATCTGATAGAGAGATTGGAGGGTTTGAGGACCGTGAAACCAAATTGTAACTGCTGTTGTTCCCAGATCCAACCTGACCCAGTTTTTTTTTCTTTTCCTTTACCTTCAATTGACCCCAACCCACTGCTTGATCAAGGAGCTTTGCACGCAGGCTGGCATGATTCAGGTTTCAGTAAATTGTTTTATTACCATTATGCTATCCCCCAAACTACCTTCGCTCTCCTATCAATATTTGTGGGTTTTTTTTCTACCTAGATTTAAAAATTAAACAAAGAAAAACTATTAAAGGGCGAAAGATTTTCACGGACACATGGCACAATGGATAAAGGCGTTGGTTAGATCCAGTGACAGGACCCAAAGAGTGTGAGTTCAATACCTGGTTAAAGCAGTGGAGAACTTTCAGAGGGAAATTAGCAGGAGATAACTGATAACTGACATCCATCAAATATGGCACGTGGAACTAGAACAGTCTACCCCAGTGAGCGAAATAAATGGTTCAGTTCGAAATTCCAAACACCTGAAGAAGGCCGGAGCGTACAACGGCCGAAACGTTGTGATAAATATGGCGACAAAGATGAGGACAATAGTCCGAATAATGTAAATAATGTATTTTCACGGATGTTGATATCATTCTGGGATCGTTTTTTGTGCAAATCCGTGAATTTGTTTTGCTCATGTTAAGTCTTAAAAAAAAATATTATATAAAACTAACTATTATTTATCCATAATGTTGAATGTGTTAAAATTGTTCAGCGTTTTAAAAATCTCAAGTTGATGCTAAATACTGGATTTATTTAAAATATAATGATCTATTATAACATGTCTCTAATTTGTATTTAGATAGGTTGTATTTATTTCCTATTTTTCCAGTTGAATTGCTCGACTCCAGTCACTTTCTCACAGACGTGATGTGGCTTAACTGTCTTTTATACAAAAATGTTGATGGCAACTGCCCTGACGAGCTATTTTTACCGGTACCCCACCTGCAAGAACTTAAGCGTGCTACTAGGTTGGCATCTTGGTCCCACCCTTTCACTGACGAAAGAGTTAAATGTAACCGTCTCTTCTACTCCAACAGCTTCTTCTCTCGCACTTCCTGACAGTGTAACTCCCTTCCTCTTATTTGCTCTCCATATAGCTACAATCTTCAAATGTAATGTCAATTAACATCTTCTGATGTCTTGATCTTTATCCCCCTCATTCTCTTTATCTTTGCCTCAAACACTCCTCTTCACTCTTACTTGCACTCAGTGGCGTAGCTTGAGTAAACGTCACCCGGGGCGGTCCGCTCAAATGTCACCCCAATGACCCCGATTCACCCTATGCTGAATGGTTAGCTGTAGCTAAATTTTCATACATGCTCTACCTCTACTTTACTCTACTGACCTGTACGTTACTGTTTACATGTATGATCCAAGACAAAATCCAATACCACAAAATAATCAGTGCAAATCAAAAGCTGAAAACATTGCTATTTTTCCTACTCACAAATTTCCCGACAATTTATTAGAACATTTCTGACGGGGGTACAAAACTGGGTGGGGTCATAAATTATTTCTGGGGAGTCATATGCCCGCCTGCGAAACCCTTTTCAGACTATTTTTGGCACCTTAGCCTGATTGAAAAATTTTGTTGGGGGTAACATTGTGTCACCCCTCCTGTGCTGGCACCCGGGGCGGTTCGCCCCCCCCCACGCCCCCCTCTTAGTTACGCCACTGCTTTCACTCTCTGTAACCCCTGGCCTGCTAGTCGTACTCCCGCTTTGCTTGGGGTGAAATGCTTAAAAAATTTGCTTATGATCGATTATTGTACATAATTAGGTTACAATAAAATTTATATTTTATATGAATACTACCCGTGAAAAATTGAGATATACTAGAGTTGGGGGAGGGCGCGAGACCTTTGCATCACTTTTGACAACTTGAATAAACTAATTTAAGATTCTACTGGACGTAAAGAGGGCGTCACTTTTCTATTGTTATTCAATAAATAAACCGATCCCTCGATAATTACTCCATCTTTTTATATAACTTGAACATATTTAAAGCTTCTAACATTAAGGGCTTAGTAGCATAAATATGTCATCACTTTTGACGGGTTGGGTAAAACATCGTCATAGGAGTAATTAATCAAAGCATTTAGACAAAGATAGAAAAGTTTAAAATCCAATTCGACACAGAGGAGAAACTGGAGGAGGAGATCTAAAAATTAAAAGAAATATATATATATATATATATATATATATATATATATAGGGAAGGTGGAGCTTGTCTTTTGCGACAGATATCTACGTACGTATGTGAGGGAGAACGCAAGAGCAAGGAGCAGCGAAGCAGTTCGTCGTATTTTTCCTGCATTTCTTCTATTTTGCCGACAACACAGGATTTTTTCGTCTCTAATACGCCGACCAAACAGGAAGATGTTACCAACAAAATACAGTTGAGAATATTTACTAATAAGAAAAAG